TGTTGTATAAGCATAATGAGGCCTTTAAAAAGTTACAGATCAGAAATCCAATGTGCGGATCTTCCGGATTGAATTACTAGGGTTATGGACCTTATCATTAACCTTTGATCGATGGTTGATTTTTAGTCAACGTGCCTAGAATTATCCTAATGTGTCTTTTATTTTATAGAATGTTGTTGAGACATGATGGAGCTTAGTTAGCTTATCATGTCGTTCCCGATTGACGGACGTCTCGATTCATGTACAAGTGGCATTGGTCTCGTTTTGTGTGTCGGCATTACTAAGTTTCCTAAGTGGGGTTTCATGCATTGTATTAGGTTTCTTGGAGCATTGTCAGTGAATATGGATGTGTGAATGACCCAGGTGAGTGACTTTAATATTATGTGATATGGTTATTACCCATGAAGCTTTCTTGTTATATACTATGCGGATATAACATTGAATTACAAATGATTTTATGAAAATGTGTGCTACTATGCTATGTTAACTTGATAGTGGTATCAAAAATATATATTATATATATGCCATGCTTCAAATGTGAAATGAAAAAGCCAGTAGAGGACCGCTAACCCATTACATGGGGTGATGTGCCATCGAATCAAAATATGCACCATATAGTAGTGGTACATAGATGGTCTTGCCTGGTGGACTATACTATTTATGGGTTGTGCCTAGTTAATCCGCATTGGGTGATCCTCGTTACCTAGGCATGACCATACGTAGTTTAGGGGCGATCACGCCTAATTAATTCGCATTGGGTGATCATTGTCGATCAGTGTTCTCAAGAGTGGTTCTTCTTGGTTAATATGCAATGGGGACCACATCCTATGTGGTTACCTCTTTATAGCTTTAGAGCTCGTGGTTGTTACATATATGAAAGATGAGATTGAAGACTGGTGTGGCTTAATCTGAAAAGTAACGATTAAATCAAATCAAATGGTTTACATGATAGTTTTGCCTAAAAGAGAAGGAATTCAAATGTGACTCATTCCTACTCAATATAAAAAGAGATGTTGTGATGAAAGAGATGCCGATCTCATTCCTACATGTGGTCATATTATTGATGGTGCGTCATTCCTACATAACTTCGAGCTGTGTGATGACTGATTGTTATTTTGAAAGACGTGTGGCGAGATTCAGAGTTAAGAACCATTCCTATACGTATTGATGTGGTGTATGGTGGTTAAATTATGAAATATGTCGTAGTTGGAGCCTTGTGATTATTCGAAATTGATGAAAGGCGAGTGGTGAGTCACAATCCGAAGAGAATGATGGAATGATATTAACGGTGCTCACAGTGAGGGATTGATCCATTATTCAGAGAAAAGTCCTATGTGGACTAGCACTACTTTTTCATTTAATCATTAATCTCACTAGTTTTTCACATATGTTGTATTATTGTCACTCGCACGAGTTTCGCAACTTATCCGGGTTTTGCTTTGCCCGATGCTTCCCATGGCATAGCATAGTTTTGCAGAGTAACATGTAGCAGTTAGAGGAGAAGATTCCAAGTGATGTAGTTGATGTGGGCAACGCACTCGAGAGTAGGTATTGTCACCTTTTATTGTCAATTATTTTTGCTGAAGCTCTAATGTATATTGTATGTATGAGTCTCAGTGATTCTAAATATTTTATATTGTACCGCTACTATCTTATTTTTCACTTGTTGATTCTGGGCATGTCTTAAGATCAGGGTGTGACAATGGTTATCAAATGGCTGTTTCATTTTTACTTTTCGAAATTTGAAAACCTGTTTGGTAACTATTTTCAGTTTTCATTTAAAAAAAAAAATGAAAAACAAAAACTGAACACTAAAAACCAAATAGTAAAAACTACTTTCTTAAGGTTTCATAATTTGAGAGCCGTTGTTGATAACCATTTCATTTTTCAGTCAGTTTTTTTTTTTCACTAAAAACTTGTTTTATAGCCACTTTCTAACACGCCCCACCGGATTGACCGTCTAGCTAAGGGTGAAAATGTACTAGTCAACACTAAATTGACAATATAACCTCACCGTAAAGGTGATGAAACACCATCAACCTAATGATGAAGCTGTAATCAAGGAAATGATGATGTGAATAAATTTGAATGGAAAGTCTCTTTATTAATTATTTAAAATTGATCCTACAAGTTCTAGTATTAAATCCCATTGTTATCACATCATTCGGAGCATAACAATATGCATACAACAGTAAATCTCAAAAGTATGTATTGTGTCATGCATAATCAAAAGTAAGGTCATACAATTGATTACAACTTGACAAGACTATCAAAAATACCAAATTAACAACAATCTGTAAGAGCTTGATGGATGAATGAAACAATAATACTGGAATTGGACCCTAATCATAGATAGAATATCCAGATTTATATTCTACTGCTTAAATATAGCTTGGACAGACAATTGGTTTACGTAATATATGAACTATGATCCTGCTCTTTGTTTGAGGAAGAAGAAGAAAAGATTAGGGTTTGTGGGGTGTAGATTGAAATATTGTATTAAATTTTAAGTAATATGTCCTTTTATGTTTTTTTACATAATTAAAAACTAAAAAAATTAAACTTAATAATGGTGTGAACTTAAATGAGTGGTGGTGTTTAATAGAAAAATTCTACATTTTACTCAATTAAAAAATAAACAAGTCCTTATCAAGATGTAGATTAATTACGAATTCTAAGTTGAAATCTACGTTGTCGTTGATTTTGCTATGAAAAGAGGCCTCGTGTTGTTGACTTGCATCAGTAACCAAGATAAGATTCAAACATCAAATGAAACTTCGGATTCATTGAACCTTTGATTTTATATTTAATCATCTATTATCTAGCTACATGCTTTACACAAGAACATAATAGAATTATGAATATTCGTAAGACGATAATAAAACAATGGATAATGATTATAACTCACTGTTCTAAAAATTCCCACCTAGTCTATAGACGTTTGAAAATTAAGAAAGTACGTCTATACCCACTTGGACGCTTGCCTAGCACACTTAGGCGCCCGCCTAGTCCACCTAAATCCACCTAAGTTGCAACTCTCACTTGGACAGAAAATCAATAATTTTAGTTTTGCATTTTATTTTGTCAATCAAATGCAGAGACTTGTTGAATACTTAGATGAACACTCATTACATGCTTGTTTCCCATGTTTTTAATATGTTCTAATATTATATAATCTATATAATAAATTTACTTAAATTCGCCTAGACTGCCTAGGCCCCCCTAGCCGCTAGACCCCAACCTATAGCCCAACTAGCGCCTAACATATTTTAAAACTTTGCTATGACTCAAAATTGAATTCAATATTTTTGTTCTTGTTCTTCAATTTGGGTTTCAGTTAAAGTAAACAAAATTAATTGTGTGAAGGTTGTGATTGATAATGATTTCAATGTCGTATGATTTGGAGCATTATTAATTCTAGCTTTACTGCTTTAGTGGTTGAGTAACAAGAAATTTTCTCGACGTTTTATGCACGGGGCAACATGTGGTGAGACTAACTCATGACTCCAAAACAACTCTTTGACTCTTCCACTTCAAATATGAGATCCATTTTTATCAACGGCTACCGATGCAAGTGAATTTGTTCTCAAGAAGTAAAAAGTTGCACAGAAGTCGGCACTACAACGTGATGTTAGAAAAGCAAAGGTATGGGAGGTATGGGACTAAGTGCTAACATGCACATGTTGAGCATGTATGAATTAATGTTGGGAGGTAGATTTGACAATTTCTTACACGACTGTTAATAAGATACGAAAACAAAAGATTTCAAGTCAATACGATAATTAATCGGGTCCATATTGGATCACCCGTTTACACACGAGTAACTCGTTTCAACCTGTCGGGAAAAAAGTTAGTTTTTATCCTTGTATTTAACAGAAAACTAACCATAGTACGTGGTAGTAAGGTAATCGGAAGATAATCCCCATAGTAAAATATTAGGATATAAACCCTTATATAAACTGCTAGCAAATCTAGTCCAAAAATTCCCAAAGCATATTAAAAATACAAAGCAATTTAAAAATACCAAAGCACATTAAATAATTCATTTACAAGTGTGAAAAATGTTAAAAAATATTCAAACGCTTGTGATTGCAAAATTAATAAAAATTCATTAGGCAAATGCTCATGACCGCGAATGTTAAAAAATATGCAACTGCTCATTTTTTTGTTTGAGTGCAAAATTAATAAAAATTAATGTACAAGCGTGAAAAATGTAAAAAAGTGAAAAAAAAAAATATATATATATAAGCACTCGTAAAGACAAGTTTTACAACTTTCTTGAATGGCTCAATTCCGAAATCCAACACCAAAACCCATAAACCCTAACTTTATATTTAATTGTTGATTGTCATTTATGCTCTATTCTTTTCATTGGATTTCGTTTTTTAAATTTTGTTTTTTGAAAACATGATCTTTTAGCGGTGCAGAAAAATGAACGGTTCGGAAGGTTGATATCACTTTCCAATGTTTACGGTTAACTGAAATATAAGTCGTGTTATATAGTTTCTAAAGACTTTATAAACTTCGAGCAATATTTTCACTAGCCATAAAAATCTGAACGTGATACCAACGATCAGAACTGTTCATCTTCCTGCATCTGCTAAAAGATCATGCTTTCGAAAGAGAACAATCTGAAGAAGAAAAAAAAAAAAAAAATGGGTGAGAAGAATAGAGCGTAAACGTAAACGACAGTTAATGATTAAATTTAAATCTATGGTTTATGCAATTGTTGTAATGGCAGAGTTGACATCTCCACAAAAATGCAAGTTTTGAGTCTCATTGGCAAGGTTCTAACTTTTGAGAAAGGCTTTACAACCTTGAACTCTTTTCAGTTTGCATATTCTTGAACATTTGATATTTTGTAGTAATGTAGTAATTTTTTTCATTAGGCTCTTATTTAGAGGTATAAAATACTTGAAAGACAAAAGTAATTTTATGTTTTGAAGTAATACGAGCAAAAGAGCCCCGTGATGCCGCGTGTTTTAAAACTTTGTTAAATGTGTGAAACTTGTAAAAAATTATTTACATCCATATCAAAATCCATTTACATCCCTATGTTCTATAAAGAACAAATCATACGTAAAAATTATCTTATTTACATCCATATGGTTATAATACACGAAAAATATCTTGTTTTCTATGTCCCAACTTTTCACATTGTTGTTCAGTGCTTCACTCTTCCTTCTTCTTTGCTGCTAAAGAGATGTTTTTCTTGTACCATGCATGGGATTTTTAGAAATGGATCAAAACTAACATGCGAGAGCATTTCCACTGGAAGCAAAAGAGGCCGGCACCCAATGAAAAAAACAAGCTGAGACTCAGCCAATCCACTCCAGCCCGTGGAATAGACTGGCACCCAGCCCAAGCCACTCCACAGGCTGGCCTAAAATCGACAGAGGAAGGAGACGGCTCATCTGACGCCTTGCTAACATCATGGCTAAAGTCTCTCTCATCTGGAACCCCATCCCGATCCCTGGAACCCCATCAAACCCCTTCCCTTGATAAATCCATATATTCAACACCATGTCCCCCTTCCAAATCGTGATCTTTCTGCAACTTGGATCGTCGTTGATCGGTTGATTAACTCGGATCTTCCTGCAATTGGAATTTTTTTTCTGTTTTGTATATTTTCGATGATTTTTTTAATATGTAGGTGTTGATTTTTGGGGGTTTACGGTGTGCGCAGGTCCAGGATGGTGGGTGTCCATGTTCAGAATAGGGTAGATTCGACGGCGTGGTGTACAAAGAGAAGAAAAAAAGGAAGAAGAAGAAGAAGAAGATGGTGTACATAGAGAAGAAAAAAGTGGGAAAAGTGGGAAGAATAAGAAGAAGAAGAAGAAGAAGAAGATGGGAGTAAGGGAGTCAGAGAAAAGAAGTCAGAAATTAAAAAAACCAAATTATTATTTTATAATAAAAATTAATAATATTTTTATAAAATTGACTAGGTTATTTTTTTTGTTAGGGGTGGAGATGCTTTGGCTTATTACTGTTTACTGGGATCTATTACTGTTTACTTGAGTGGATAAATGAGCTGGGTGTTAGTGCAAAGTCTTTAGGGGTGGAATTGCTCTGAAGAACTTCTGTGTTTCACTTGCTTATTGATTGGGTTATGATTGGGTTACAATCTCAGGATGAGAAAAGCATTCCATGATCTAAAAAAAATAGTTAAGAAAAGAAAAAAAGCTCATTACTTTGCTTTCATTACTGGTTGTGAATTTACTTAGAATACCAATTGGATGAAAAGGTATTAATTCATGAATTGTAGGAAAGGAGACAACAAATGCAAAGGTTATTTTGTGTGTGTGTGTGTGTGTGTGTGTGTGTATTATACGAAACACACAAAAGGGATTGAAGTTCCTCCTATTCTGCAAGTACATAAAAATTAGAACTCACCACTTGAAATGTCCCTAGCAATTTCCCGAGTTTTTACCGAGTAGGTATGCATGTTGGTCTTCATCAGTCACTCCATCAAACATTATGTATTCAATGAAAATTTTTTGTTGACTGCAGAATCAGATAAAAGGCCTATAGTGAGATTTTCTATGAGTGTAAAACAATAGTAAAAGTTTCATTGCAAACAAATGAAAGCTAAAAGAATTTATTAAACACATGAGGTGCAATAAAACTTTACGTGTTCTCTTGGTAGTCTTGCAATGTATCAATCAGCTTTACTAAAGGAAAAGCCCGAGCTGCAGGCATTATCTGACAACAGATTTCTTGGACGGATGCATAAGTGAAACCGCTAATCCATAGCTAGAAGATCACTGTGGAGCTTTTTGATAGCATGAATAATGCCGACCTACAGAAGATTAGATGCACAACTGTCAGAGTAGTAAGCCAAATGTTTTTAGCAATTGTGAACTACATCATTGCTTATGCAACTATGATTCACCCACATTCAATGAAAGAAGCAAAAGAGTACTTTGTACTACCTAATTTACTAATTTACTAAGATCCACAAAATCTAAAAGCTACAAAATTTTGATTATAGAATCAAATAAAATAGCATGAGAAAGTTATTAAGATACACCATATGTGAATGTTTGTGCAGATAAAAACATCTTAGAAATAATGGCAGTTTTCAATGCCTAGTCGACACAGTAATTTTCTTTGGCAGTCATGAGAAAGTTATTAAGATACACCATATCTGAATGTTTTTACAGATAAAAACATCTTAGACATAACGGCAGTTTTCAATGCTTACTGTCGACAACAATTTTCATTGGCGATAGGTGAAATAGTGATCCAGTCTTAACATGAATTGCTTCAATTAAGGAACCATACTCATTCAAAGGTTCTCCCATTCCTTGAAAAAATACATAAAATCAAAGTATTCAACATTTCAATGGTTCCCATATTTCTTCCGTATGCATACCATTCAATAACATCCACAAATGAGAGAATTTGGAAAAGGATCAAAGGATCAGGGTCACCTTGGGCACAGCTCCAATTTGAACTTTCTTGATAGCATTGCAGAGGATTATCCCACTTCTCAATCCAAGCCTAACTCTCCCTCCGAAGGATCCGCCGGCATATCTATAGCAGCAACAACAATAATCATCTTTCAGAGTCCTCCGGCCGACTCATTTCTCCTTGTTGCTACAAAACAAAAGATTAGCTCAATTAGCACAAACAATCAAACGAAACCCAACTTTCAAGTATTCAATTATTTCAAACTTAATGGTTGAAGTAACTTAAGAAACTTATAAAGTATCAATTTGTAAAAGTTAAACCAAACAAAGGAGAGAGAGCTAATTTTCTGTTTGGTTAGTTAGAAAATGAAGGAAAATATAATCTTGACCTTTTGAGATACGCTAAACAAATTCAAAAACCCACTCCACATACAATCACTAAAACCGATTAAACTGGTTCAAAAGAACCGGTTTCCACAACCACTTCAAAAGTCAGCAAAAATAAAACAAAAAATTCAGAGCTATTTCTCAAAACATTAACTCCCAAAATCTCATACTATTTCTAGCCGATAACCTTTTCCGAAACCCTAAAATTCACAGATCAGAGGAACTTACTCATTGCAGGTTTGAAGCAGAACCAAATTGGTCTTCTTTTAAAAAAAATCATTGGGGGAAGATTCAAAATGTAGTAAAAAGAAAATAATGATTGAGCAAGGAAAAAAAAGAATTCTATACAAGCATTTTCTTTTTAGATGAAAACCTGTCGGAAAATCAAAAACCAAATGAGATTACATAGCACAAAAATTGAGGGGGGAAAATAGATTAAGAAAAGCAATTAAAAATGAAAACATGTAGTAGAATCAAAAACCAAATGAGATTACATAGCAGAAAAAAAAAATGACGGGAAAAACAGATTATTAAAAATAAACACAGAGGATGAATGATGTTGTCAATGTACTTAATTTCTCTTATAAAATATAAGACAACTATATATATTTCTCGACCATATAAGAGAGCATCAAATTTGAATAAACTAATAGAGGCATTAATCCTAAGTTGGTCATTCATTGTTGTCTGTCTAAACTTGATGGCATACTGTAAAGTCCTCTAGCATACATATTAATGCAATGTGAATTTAACTCCAGGGGCAATTTGATTTTTGCAGATTAAAAAGAATTGAAGAATATTGAAAATTAATAAACCCCATCACAACATCCACATCAGTGAAGAATCAAATCCAAATGTAAGTTGCAGTTTGTTATAGAGCATATCCAAAAGTAAATTGCAGTTTCCTATCTCTCTGAGCATCCAACAGAACATACCCTATAAAAAGATTAAAATCTGGACTTTAGCACCTAAAAAAAAAAAAAAAAAATTAAAAAAAAAAAAAAAACAATAAAATACAATCATAAAAGAACCAACAGAGTCCATGGTACGATTCGGACAGGAAGCTTCCGCAAACATTTTTCAGAGCGCTAATGAAGATTTCCTTTAAAGACATAGTGCCGGTATAAAAGCTGTCATATAACATCACTTGGGAATGGGATTTAGTTTAGAGGCTAACCTTCCCGTAATCAAAAGGAATGATGCATAAACCAGAAGGTAGAAGAGGTGCATCATCAGCAAAAGAAGCATCAATTGGAGCAAAAAAGAGTTCAGCACTGGAACCCAGAACATTCTCGTCCATTCCACTGCATAGCTATTAAAAAAATACAGCCATGAAATTTAAGCGGAATAACAAATAAATCAGAAAATAAACATCGAATAAACTGGATATTCCATACGATAGGATTGTTTTTTGAATAACTTAGAGATGAGGAATTCAAATTCCAATGCAGACTCAAATGCCAAATAAACCAGAATACCAAATTGACTCTTGTGCTGATTTAATAACCCCAACAACAGTTATTCAAATTCAATAACCTAGAATACTAAATTCAATGCCCATATAATCAAACGTATTTCAATAACCACAGAAGTTTAAATTGCTTACCGTGAGCATAGAGGGATTTGAAAGGCGACGAACAACGTTTGAGCCTGGATACAAAACCCTCAAAATCTGAAAAATTTGAACAAAAAACCCCCAATAGTTACATATTTTTTCTAATGCTATGCTTTGAATCAATTGAGAAACAAAAACTCTGTATTTTCAATCCTTGGATCCCTAGAAAAATCACCAGAAGATAAATTGCTTACCTTCCGTAAATAGGGTTATGGAAAATGCGCGGATGGACTGGTGGTGCGTCGCGGTTCTCGCGTGTGCTGTGGAGCTAGTCGCCGGATTTGGGTGAATTGGTTTAGGGTTGGCGGTGGTTTATTTATTTATTTATTTTTAACTGAAGAGAATCTCGTTGAAAGAGGAGGAATGGCTATCCAAAATGGAGCACTGGAGCGGGAAAGAAGAGGTGGAGGAGATTGGGGCCAGTCCATTCGTTCCATGCTGGGAAAACAATTGATGTCGAATTCCAAAAACCACCGGGATACGGAGGAACGACAGCGCACAACACAGATACACGTGTTAACATGGGTAGTTTCGTAATTTTACTGTGCTTATGAGGAAAACAAAGATCAATCTGAACACTAAAACAGGGGCATTTTCAGTCATTTCACTGTGCTTATGAACAGTGCAACCGGGTTTTAGTATTTATAGAATTTATGTGACAATGTAGTATCTAGTATTACGTTTTTCATTTGATTATTTATTGGTTTAAAATATTTTTTCCTTAACAAATAACAAGTAGGATCATATTATCCATTTAATATTAACGGGTCAATATTGAATCGGATCATATTACCTGTTTATTTTAACAAGCGTTACACGACACGATTTATTATAATATCAAATATGTCACGAAAATGATATAAATACGAAAAACATGACACGAATGTCAGACCTAGTTGGAGGCACCGGCAGCAGCATCACAACAAGGACTATGATATTATGATAAATAGCCAATTTGGGTATCATATTTTCTTTAGCAATTTACGTAGATTTGAACTGAGTATTGATGCTACTAGAAATTTCGAAATGATGGGAATTCAAAGATCGTTTTTCAACGGTGATTTTATGTGGTTTCGTTCTCTTGCTATGGCGTTGTGTGGCTTTGCTCATCTGCAAAGATCGTGTGTGCGCACTAGTATTGGTTTGTCACATCTATCGTTCTTGTGACAAACGATTCAGCCGTTGAAAATCACGTATGTTCTTTCATATTAAAAAGTAAAATGGATTAACCCAATGCTTGGATGACGGACTTTCAAAGTACCAATGTACTATAAACTCAATTATAAAAAGTTACACGGACACCACCAATGAACTATTCGAGCACTACAAAAACACAACAACTGCGCTACATGGACTTTTAAAATGACACCTTTCAACGAGTCATTTGAAATTTCTCTTAAACTTATTGCATCTAGTCATTTTTAAGTGTCTCCTTGTAATTTTTGTGGTGCATTCTTAACAAATTTAGCCAAAGTTCCATGGAACTTTAAAGTCCCTCATCCAAAGCACACCATAAGGGCTCATGCATCGAATATCACTTTAAGCCGCTTTGCATTTTTACGAGTTTTGTGCACATCGACATCTAATCAAATGGAGTTTATAAGGGGCTTGGAAATTATACCTTGAGAAATTTTCCAAGATAAGGAAGTGCTACGGAAACTGCGCCTAAGTTTATCTTACATTGCCAGTCCCAAGTCTGGATAAGGAAGGAGGAGGAGAGTGTTAGGTAGTCGACAGCCGGCATTCCTAGGTTACGTCGAATCCTTATGAAAATAAATCCAGAACGAATATATAGCCAATCCCACTTAGTGGAAAAATATTTTTTTGTTGTTGTTGTAGGGAAGTGCTACGAGAATGCAGTCAAAGACAGATCCAAAGCTTCCGTCCTCTATACGAAAACCGAAAACAAAACAAACCCACAGAAATTAACATAAAATCCAACACAAACTGAAACAAAATTAACACATGAAAAATCGTTTCGTTCTCTTACAAGCTATACTGGGGTTGCAGTTGAGCCAACAAAATGGTTTAAAATCAAAAGCGAACCGAACCCGTATCCAATCCATCTGGTAAGTAGGACTCGTCCAACCCAAGGATTCCTACACAACCCCATCAACCAATCACATTCAAAATCTCAATCTAGAGAGAGAGATACCTAGTGTGAAGCGGAGGACGGAGAGCTTGAGTTGTGGGTTGGAGGTGCTGCTCGAATCGTTGAGACGAGCGGAGACTGGTAAGAAATTTGGGGAACTTTCTGGCGCGGGGTTTGGGCGGGGTTTTCAACTAACGGATTTGGGGATAGAAGGGCCCTTCTGGCGTTGCTCATTTTTTCTTGGGAACTGTTTTTCTAGCTCTAGGTTTTTTTATTTTTTTTATTTTTTTTATTTTTTTATTTTTATTTAAGACCATCTCTAATGGTTGGACTAAAAGTCAAATATTTTAAAATTTAGCCTTTAATCTAGAAATAGTTTTTCTGCTCTAACCGTTCTAACTTAAAATTTTAGCTTAGGATTATTAAAGAATGAACTTAGGCTATTTTTTTTGTTAAATTAATTTTTTTTTAAATAAATATGTAGACTATCGTAAATTAATTTTATGAACATTTTAATCTAAAAAAAATTAAATTCCGATAAATATTGAGTGAAGTCCACTCCGATTTCTAGGCTAAATTTTGGGGGGAATTTGGCCTTGATTTAGCATTTAGCTCAAATTTTCTCCTTGGGTTGGATTGGATTTGAGAGAAAATTTTGGGGGGTAATTTGACTTTTAGCCTACCTGTTACATCTCGACCCAGGCCCCCACCACATCCCCGGCTCGAATCCATCGTAGCACGATATTGTTCGCTTTGGGCCCCGACCACGCCCTTACGGTTTTGTTTCTGGGAACTCACACGAGAACTTTCCAATGGGTCATCCATTCTGAGATTGCTCTCGCGCGCTACACACTTAACTTTAGAGTTCCTACGGAACCCGAAGCCAGTGAGCTCCCAAAAGGCCTCGTGCTAAGTAGAGATGAGAATATACATATAAGACTTACATGATTCACTCCCCTGGACGATGTGAGATGTTACACAACCATTGGAGTTGGTCTAAAAAGATGACAACGGGTGGCCAACCATAATTATTCATCATTTCTGAATCTAAAAAGGCTATGGGAATTTTACTCTATCTGTGGCCACAATCAAGCAAACTCACTAACTCAGAGTATCAAACCCGGAACCTCCAACATTTATTTATTTATCAAGGAGCTGCAGTATGCGCCCTTACCATTGGGCCATTTATTGTGGTTATTCTAGTTCCAAGTGTTTTGGAGCTAAGCAAAAGTGGGAAAGCGTGGGATGAAAAGCAATGCTAGGTAGACTAAATTTATAAATAAACACGTTAATCAACACTTAAGTAATAATCTAATTATCAACTTCCATGTCATTTAGTTTACAAAACTTACTCTACCTAGCATTACCCCGTTGAAGTGAGAGTCCAATGGTCCAAGTTGAGATTGCCCCAACTTCGAAAATTTGGGGAACTCGAAATTTTAGATGCATTTGTTGCCCAGGACTACCTCGGATTGGACTAACTTTAAGGACTAAGCTGAATAAGAAGCAGGGTAATACAACTACAAAGCCTTTTCCCACTAAGTGGAGTTGGCTGTACGAATCCTAGAACACCATTGCGCTCAGTTCTGTGTCACGTATTCCGTTAGATCCAAGTACTTTAAGTTTTTTCATAGAGTCTTTTCCAAGGTCTTCCTAGGTCTTCCTCTACCTCTTTGGCCTTGAACCTCTGTCTCGTAATCACATCTTCTAACCGGAGCGTTAGTAGGCCTTTGTTTCACATGTCCAAACCACCATAACCGATTTTCTCTCATGTTTCCTTCAATTTCTCCTACTTCTACTTTACCTCGAATGTCCTAATTCCTAATCTTATTATTTCTCGTGTGCCCACACATCTAACAAAACATTCTCATCTCCGCTACACCTATTTTATGTACGTGTTGATGTTTTGCCACCCAACATTATGTGCCATAAATTTCAACCATGTTCATAACAAAATATTCATGTTATTTGCTTCAACTTCAATTTCAACCAAATATTCATGTTATTCCCATCAAGCATTTCATCTTCTTCATGTTCAAAGTATGTTTGTGTCTGTTAAGACCCAAAAATGTCACATACAAGCTCGACCAAGCCTCGAAATCCAATTGTCATGCAAGCTTCTATTCAAGTCCAAATACATGCAAATGTGCGAGATCGAGGAGGAAATATATTTATGAACATGCCATGCTACGATAATTAGACTAGATCACGCCATGCCTATTTATCACACTAGTCACTATTCATGCTAAGCCTAAGTCACATGCCTGTGGCTTGTCAAGTGAATTGTGGTGTGGATGGTTATGGAAGTTCATTGGGCTTACTAGGAGTTAAGATAATGGAAGACTTTAGGTTAATTGGGAGCCTAAAAGTCTAAGCTCATAGCCTTTGTATTCCACTTGGGTAAGTTTGAGAGAGAACTAGCTTAGTTTGCCTTTTTCCCCAGCAAGCCAACCTTTTTAGTTATGACCAAACCATATCCATGCATTAAATGTATGCCAAACTTAGCAAGTCAAGCATTTAATGCTGACTATCTTTTCCTAGCTTGCACAGACAACCAAAGTGTTAAAGCCGTGAGGTGCGCTACCGGAATTAGCATTTGCGGAAGGCCATATTAGGATAGGCTCATCTTGGGAGAAAGCAAACTACAGGTCTCAACAGTGCAGTTATCTTACATCGAAAGGGGTATAATAGGAGGCTTAAGGAGAAAGAAGGGGAAGACAAAGCCAGAAAAAGATATTCCTTCGAACCTAGAGAAGAGCCATTCACTTATATAAAGAGGAGGGGTAACACAGAACGGAGGAAGGGGTTAGGACACGCATAAAGGAATACAGAGAGAGATAAGAGAGAACGTAAGGGAGAGAATGCAAGGGAGAGAACAACCCTGTTAATAAGCCCAAAGAGTTCCATTTAGTCCAGAAGCATAATTCAAGCCTCAAGCATCACCATTCATGCAACCTTAGTAATCCCCACAACCTTCCACTAAAATCCCAGTTATCGTAAGCCTTGCTGCTACCCTAGGAAACCTTGATTATCTACCAGAAAACACCATGCAACCATGCCAACTCTCTCAACATGTTCCACACCACGCTTCTCTTGATTAAGTCATTATTTGCCTAAATCATGCTATCTTCGCGTCGTTGATCCAACCAGGATATTTCCTAAGACAAACTAACTCTTTCGAGATATTCCGGGACTTGGTACAAAACCGAACCAAGGGAGACAAGAGGACGTTCTTGAAGCCCAAGTCCACCTTGATAGGAGCATATTTATGTGACTTTGTTATCTTATTTCTTTGCATTTACTTAATTGATTTCCATTTGTTATAGTAATTTAAGTTATTTTCATTTTATTGTAGGTCCAATTGGTAAAGTTAACAATAAAAGGTCAAATGGAGCAA